CCGCCGTCTTGCCCGTTGTTGTCCAGAACGATCTGCGGTCGGTCGTTTGGATATGCCCACGACCAGCCCTAGTGCGTTGCGCTGCTTGTCATTTGCCTTGTTGGGGTTGTCGAGAGACGTTCGCCCGATCAATGATTCCTTAGTATCATTTATTTAGGGGATGGATCTAGCGTTCGATTCCCGCCCCCGCGACTTTGAACGGAGTGAAAGGTGGGATTGTAGAGCGAACGCTACATCCTATCCTACGGCCGCTGCCTCGGCCCCAGGCAGCGCTGCCCTGCGTGCTTGGCTCGCGGGAGCGTGACGCTGCCGAACCTAAGCGTCGGATAAAGGCCGCGTCCACCGATGGTTCATCTCTCCATCCCATGTCTTATCTCTTGTCGCTCGTCTTACTTGCCATCAAGGGAGAAACCGTGGGATGCTTCGATACGTCGCCGACATTATCCAAAGGGTAGGGGTTCCAGGTTATAACCTCGTGGTCAAGCCCTTGACCCTTGTTTTTCAATTCTTGGTCGCTTGCTGGCGGTCTTGGGTTTTCCCTTGGAAGGAAGGCCTCATGTGTGATTTCGAGTTCCCATATTGGGCGTTCGGTGTGGCTATGTTCGAGCTCTGTTGGGCTGCTTGGGCGCCTTTGCGGCCGTCTTGGGTTCCTCTTGGGTGCTTCCTGGGTCCCTTGGAGCCTGCTTCTGGGCCTCTTGGGTGATTTTGGGAATTCTTGGTCTTTTGTTGTTTCCTGACTCTATGAAGACGACAAACAGTGATTCGGCGGCAAGTATCACCGGCGCCTTGTGGAGACGGGGGTCGAAGCCAGGCTGGCGGGATCGCAATTTGGTTTCAGGTCGAAGTGCGGGACGCAAGAAGTTATTTTGGCCCTTCGTCGGCGAATCGATTAGGAGTTTGGAACACCGAGCGGTAATTTGTTCGCATTGTCCTTGGATTGGAAAAAAAGCGTTTGACTCCATCAACCCCTCCGCAATGCTGCGGGGGCTGCGGCGTTTCGGCTTGCCAGAGCACGTGGTGGACGTTGTGCTCGCGATGTGCACGGACAGGCAGTTCGAGGTGAGAGATTGTGAATGGTTTTGTTCGTCATGGCGAGGACAGTCATTATCGAAGATGCTGCTGCGCACGTTTCTGAACAGCACCGTGAACTCTGGGAGCGCGGATCCTTGCCAGTGTTATTGTACGCGGACGACGCGCTTATATCGGGAAGGACAAAGGAGGGCGTTGAACAGCTGCTAGCGGCGATTCAAACTTCTGGGAGGTCTTGCGGCATGGAACTACACCCCGACGGCCCGACAAATTCCAGTTACTTCGAGTCAGATGTCATCGCAATGTTCAAGACACGCAGGGTAATATCATACCGGCGCGACAGGACATTCTTTACTTGGGGGCTTTGATTTCTGGAGCAGGGGACGCGAACGAAGATTTCTCTCGTCGTCTTGGCGCAGCCCGGGCTGATCTCGAGAAGTTTTCCAAAGTGTGGCGGCATTCCAGTTTCAGCAGGCATCGACAAGTCGAGGTGTACAATGCAGTGGTTCTTGGCACGTTGACGTATGGATTTGGGTCTTTGTGGTGGAATGGTGCTGCCTGGAGGCAGTTGGGCGGCTTTCATTGCCGATGTCTCCGCGCGATTAGGGGCGTCGCGCCAGCCTTCATCTCTAGAGTGAGCAACGCAATTTTTTTAGACAAGACGGGGAAATCCCCTTGTATCTGAGACACTAGCTCGGCAACAGCTCCTCCTGCTGGGGAAAGCCGTTAGGTCGCCAGAAGGGGCCCCCTTTTGAGAGACCACCTTCTGCCTTAGATCTTTTCGGCCAGTGTCCGATAGGCACGCGAAAAAAGTTGGCAGGCCGCTCGCGGACTGGACGACACAAGTGCTGCACGTTGCGTGCTTAGCGGCAGGCGGTATTGCTCATCTGACCCCACTCTTGATTAGCGGAGCTTCCCGGCGGCGCTTTTTCCGCGCAGAGAAGCTGTCGGCATAGCGCCGTGCAGCCCACTTCTATTGTACATGTAGTAGCGTTTTCCCCATTTATGTGTCCTACGCACCTCCGGGTGTATGACTTCTTGCTTGCTTGCTTGCTTGCGGCAAGTATCAGTGTTCTGACGGATGGGGCGAGTTTTGCTTCTTAGACCCTGTCGCGGGTTCTCTTGAAGCTTAGGTGGGGCGTTTGGGAGGCTATTGTGGCAGTCGTGAGGCCACTGTGGTTGCTTTCGAATTCTCCGCGGCGTGTTGGAGCCCAGCATGAGACATTTGAAATGGCATCTTAGCCATCTCGGAGGTCACGGACTGTGGATTTTTAGGTTCTGGGAGCCACAACGGTGCGTTGGCGAGCTTGGTGCCTCACTCTTCTCGGATTTCGACCCTGGGGGAGGGGGCAAAGAGGAGGGGGGCAGGCAATTGTCTCACACGTCTGCTCACACCTGGCAAGCGAGATTCCTGGCGATTCCTGTTGCCAGCGAGACGGTCGATCTAAAGGTCGCTGATCCGTCCTGACCCCGTGACCTCGGGGCGCGGCGCCAGTGAAGAACCATTCTCCTGGGAACTATCAGGAATCCCCAGCATTTCGTCTATGTCGAGCCATTCCTCGTCGCTGACACTAAAGTCGGTCAACTCACTCGCGTTGGTGGCCGCGGTGTTTCACAGCTCCGCTGCCAGTGTAAAAAAATGACGCACTAGCAAAACATTGGCTCTTTGGTTCTAGGGCTTCGTGGAACCCATCACGTAGAAAATGTTGGTCTTTCGAGGCCGTGGGTCCCGCATGGACCGATCGCCTGCGGCGGCAGCCGACGGGGGAATCGGGGGCGCGGCCCCTGGTCCTTTATCAAACCGATGCGATTCAAGGCCTGTTCCTGTTCGGTGGCGGGCAATCCAGAAGGCATGTTAGCCCTGTTGGTTGGACTTCGGACCGACAAGGGCAGGCTAGGGGGAAAAGGGGGAAAAAACGTATCATCATTGACTGAGAGTCGCAGGCCGTGACGACGACGAAAGCTGCCGACGACGACGACGACGAGGACGACGGCCGGCGATGACGACGCAAGCAGCCGACGATGACGAACGAGCACGCGCGCACTCGACGACGTGAGCCGACGACGACGACGAGCAGCCGCTGTCGGCCCAAACGACGCCTGCGGGCGCGGGGTGCTGCCGGCCTCGGCCCTGGGGTGGGGCTTCGCAGGCGCACGCCCCCCCGCGCGCGCCCCGCGCGCGCCCGAGCGGGGTCTCCTCGCGGCGCGGCGTGAAGGCGGGGCCGAGCGGGTCCGCTTTCGGAGGCGTTCGGAGCCCTTTTGCAGGCCCTCGGAGCCTTGGCGACACTCCGAGCAGCGTCGTGGCCGCCGTTGTCGGCGTCGTTGTCGTTTTTGACGTTGATCAGACATGAAAACGGGCTTGTTTCGTCGAGAAAGCTGAGCCAGTAAGACGCGTGAGCACGGACTGAGCGGATCAGGAGGTGCGAGGAGGCAAAGACAAGTAGAGAAGCCTACGGCGTCGTTGTCGTCTTGCTCCTTCTCCTCCGCTCCTGCGTCGCTGGGCGGACGGGGCCTGCCAGCAGCGCCGTAGCCGCCAGGTCGTCGCGCTCGTCGTCGTCGTCGTCGCCCTCCTTCTTCTGCTGCTCTTCTCCCTCCGCCTCATGCTTCCGCGCTCGCGCGGAGGAAGGGACGCTGATGATGCTGACGATGGCGATGATGACAATGATGTCGACGAAGACGACGATGACGATGACCATGGCGACGACGACGACGATGACGACGGCCACGACGCTGAGGGTTACGAGGCTGATGATGGTGGGTATAGTCGCAGGGCAGCGAGGGCCGCGCGATAGCAACATAAGTATCATAAGGTTGCTTGAACACAAAACGTTTTTGCTGTCAATAAAACATTCCAGGTGTCCGCTGTCACTTCGGCTCCCCTCAGTCCTCGACCCCGTGCCCCCCCCTCCTCCGTTCGTCTCCGTCCTCCAATTCCCCTCCCATCCCCAACTTTCAGGAGGAAAAGAAACACACAGACACAATTAATCCTCGATTTCCCAGAAAATATGGGAAAATATGGGAAGTGGTGGGAAGACAGAAACCCAGAAAATATGGGAAAATATGGGGAATCGTTTTATCTGTGTGTATTTATTTGTGTGTCCTGGGGCCCCTTCAAACTTGCTCCTCCTCCTCCGCCCCCTCCGTCTTCCACCTCCGACCCCCTCCTCCACGCCCAGGGCCGCGCGCAATCCCTCGGGATGTCGCAGGTCCCTCCGCCCCGCTCCTTGCCTGGGAGCGGCATGCCATGTCGTCCAGCTCGTCGGCGTCGTCGTCGTCGTCGTCGTTGTCGTCGTCGTCGTCGTCGTCGTCGTCGTCGTCTTCGTCGGTGTCGGCGTCGGTGTCGTCGTAGTCGTCGTCGTCGTCGTCGGCGGCGGCGGCGGCGGCCGGAGGGGCGCCGGATGTGACCATGGAGGGACCTATCGTGTCCGTATGGCGCGCGGGGGGGGAGTGGACGGTGGCGGTGGCGGTAGAGGTGGAGCCAGGCTGGTGGTTGGGGTGGAGTCCGCTGGTGGCGACGGCGACGGTGGCGGAAGAATGACCATGGAAGGAACCACCATGCAAGGGCGGTGGGTGGGGGCTGGGGGACCGGCGGCAGCGGAGGCGGCAGAGGTGTCGTGAGGAGGAGGACAGGGGTGGATTCGGCGGCAAGTGGCGACTACGATGGCGGCGGCTCGTTGGGAGGAGCGTCGGGCAGTGCGCGATTGGAGGATGGGCTGGCATACCCTGGGATCCAGCCTGGTGGGGACGGCGGCGTGGGTGTGGGGGCGGGCGGATGGGTGGTACAGGACCTTCGCCTGGCGCCGCGCTGAGCGTAGGCTCCGGGGGCGCACGTGCGGGGGGAGGACGGTGCGAGGGGTGGGGAAGCCCCGGCCCACGGTGCGAGGGGTGGGGACCACCCCAACAAAAAGAGGAAGAGGCTTTCGGAGGAGGAGAAGGAGGAGGAGGAGAAGGAGGAGGAGGAGGAGGGCGAGCAGAGATGCCAGAGACCTCTTAAATACCTGTCGGAGCCGCTTCGGATGTCCTTCGAAAGCTTTTTGGAGTTATCTATGGGTTTTCAGAGGGCCTCTGGGCGGTCCCAGGGGCCTCTTGGAGCGTCTTCCGTCCATGGATACAGACTCCAGCGACCCCTCAGCAACAGTGAAACACTTCTGGTAGTGGATGCCGAGTTCACCATGTCTGCACTCGTGCCAGGAACCTTGTCTCCTGGACCGTGGTGCTCAAATCCGACGGGGCCTAGTCCACCGAACTTTGTTATCAAAACGCGGCAGAACGTCTGCATCCAGCTTCGTGAAATAACCCGCTTTCTCTGCGGCCAGGTCCAGCTCTTGTGTAAACTCTCCTCCTCCTCCTCCTCCTTCTCCCTCCTGCTGCTCCTTCTCCTCCTCCTCGGCCTCGCGGCTCCCCGGGGGGCTGCGAACCGCGCATCTGTCGCCACTTTCGCGGGCTCCTGGGGGGCCCAGCTGAGTGGGGTGTCACGCGGACCCCGTCGAGGCCTCGCGGCTCCCTGTGTGGGGCATGCGCAAGGTGTGCCAAGTGCGCCCGTGCATGTGACACCGCACATCGGGAAACATGTCGGCCCCAACCATCGTTGTCGAAAACCTGTGCCCAATCGCGGCGGGGAGGCCATCATGGTGTTTGGTTGACCTGCGCACAGCAGGCAATATGTCAGCACCCCCGCGGTCATTGCCAAGCACAAGGGGACAGGGATCGCGGGGTGGGTGTGCATGAACAAGATTCAGCCGCGAAGTGCTGATACTATTGTTTTTGACAGGGATGGTGGCCTTGCGCAGCAGGGTTCCCCTGCCGTCCCGGTCAGAAAACAATTCAAAGTGTTCACGGGGCCCACGAGCATGACCCAAGATTTTGTATCATATTGTGCTTCGTATTGTTTTGACAGGGATGGGCGGGGGTCCGCGTTGGCCCCGGTTAGTAGGGAACAAGATAATCTTTCCCCCCGAGCAGGCAAAGTAGGGATTTCAGTAGTGAGAAGACACAAGTTCGTTAAACCACTTAAACTAAAAGGGCTGGTGGCATTATACATCGGCCGTGGGTGTAGGAGGAGGGGTGGGAGGGAGTTCGAGCAGGGAAGTCGGCTGGGAGCAGAGACTGCGAGCTCCAGCCGGCGCTGCCAGGTAGAGGTTCAAGCGCCTCCTGGTCTCGAGGACCGCAGCCCGTCGCTGCCCTCGCCTCTTCCTCATCGATTGAGGAGGACGAGCTGGGACGATGATGATGATGATGATGATGATGATGATGATGATGATGATGATGATGATGTTGATGATGTTTGCGATGATGATGACGACGATGAATGATGATGGTGCTGCTGCTGATGATGATGATGCTGCTCATGATGCTGATGATGATGATGGTGGTGGTGGTGATGGTGATGACGACGATGATGACGATGACGACGATGATGATGATGATGATGATGATGATGATGATGATGATGACGATGACGACGACGATGACGAAAGTGATGGTGATGATGATGCTGATGATGATTATGACGATGATGACGACAACGAGGACGAGACGAGGACGAGAATGAGGACGAGGACGACGACGCCGACGACCACGATGATGATGCTGATGATGACGATGATGACGATGATGATGCTGATGATGATGCTGATGCTGATGCTGATGATGATCATGGTTATGATGCTGATGACAACGATTCTGATTCACTTTAACTGAAGATGATTATGAATATGAAAATGACTACGATGATGATGACGACGACTATTATGATGATGATGATGATGATAATGATGATGATGATGATGATGATGATGATGATGATGGTGGTGATGATGATGATGATGATGACGATGACGATGGTTGTGGTGGTGATGATTATGCTGATGCTTATGCTGATGCTGCTGCTATCGCTGCTGCTGCTGATGCCGATGATAATGCTGATGATGATGATGATGATGATGATGATGATGATGATGATGATGATGATGATGATGATACTGATGCTGAGGATGATGCTGATGCTGACGACGATGATGCTGATACTGATGCTGATCATGGTGGTGATGCTGATGACGACGACGATTCTGATTCATTTGAAATGAAGATGATTGTGCATCTGTTTCTGGCTATGAAGATGCACATGACGACAATTATGAGGATGACGACGGTGACGATGATGATGGTGGTAGTGGTGGTGGTGGTGGTGATGATGATGATGATGATGATTCTGATGCTGCTGCTACTGCTGCTGCTGATGGTGATGATGATGCTGCTGCTTCCGCTGATGATGATGAGAAGGATAATGCTCGCTCTGATGCTGACGCTGATGCTGATGCTGCTGCTGCCAGCGACGACGAGGAGGGGGAGGAGAAGCTTGAGGATGATGATGATGATGATGATGATGATGATGATGATGATGATGATGATGATGATGATGATGATGATGATGATGATGATGATGATGATGATGATGATGATGATGATGATGATGATGATGATGATGATGATGCTGCTGATGCTGATGATGATGATGCTGATGATGATGCTGCTGATGATGATGATAATGCTGATGCTGATGATACTGCTGCTGCTGCTGCTGATGCTGCTGCTGCTGCTGCTGCTGATGATGATGATGATGATGATGATGATGATGATGATGATGATGATGATGATGATGATGATGATGATGATGATGATGATGATGATGATGATGATGATGATGATGATGATGATGATGATGATGATGATGATGATGATGATGATGAGGAGGAGGAGGAGGAGGAGGAGGAGGAGGAGGAGGAGGAGGAGGAGGAGGAGGAGCAGGAGGCTTCCACGCGGTTCCTCGATTCTGCCTCTCTCACTCCTCCTCCTCGTCCTCCTTGCCAGTATTGCAGATATCATCGAGGTGAAGGGAAGGCATGGCAGCTGGGACCGCTGCAGTCGACCTCAACAAGAACTACGAGTACGCGTCGCCCGCCATCCGTGTCAGTGACGCACGCGAGACGCAATTCCTTTTGCCTTGGTTGGAGGCGCCGTGCTGCGCCTGTTACCAGCCCAGGAGAGCGAGGTTTGCGGAGCTCCCTCGGTCGTCCTCAATATCAACGGCGCAATCGGTGCGGGCCTGCTTTTTGGTGGACTGCCGCAGGCCCTGGGCACCGTCAGGCTGGGCGGCGAGCAGCTGGCCGGAGCTTCCCAGGTTGCGGTCGAAGGTCCGCAGTGCAGGCGTGCAGCCTTGGCGCCAACTGGGACCGGGCGGGGCTGGCTTACAGGCAACGCTGAGCAAACCGTCGTCGTGGATGCCAAGTGGGGCGGCGAGGTCGACAGGGCGAGGTGTCTCCGCTGTCCCTGGGGCGATGGTTCGGACGGAAGTCGCAGGAACCTGGCAGAGCAGAACAAGGAATTGGCCAAAGCGGAGTACGCTGCCTAGCGAGTGCGCCATCTTCGGAATGGAGGTACCGCTGTGGCGAGGGTCTTCCGCAATTCGCCGACGGCAACAGCAGAGTGGGAGTGAGCAGTGACAGGCATTGCCGATGTCAAGGTGAATCGTCTGCGGGTCTCTTCTTTGCGTGCAGAATGTCGGCTCACAGCTGGAGCTAGTTGTGATATGGATGCGCGCGCGGCGCGGATCTTTGGGCGAAATCGAGCGCGGCTCGAGCGATCTGCGTAACACTAAGGCCAAGGACCCTGAGAAATAAAAATGGCAGCGGCGAGCAAGGAATGAAACCACAGGCCCCTCGAGGGTCTGGGGAAGCCCTCTCGGGCCTCTTACATTCCTGGGGAGTGAGCTTGATTCACACTCCTCCTAGGACATGCTCGGATCGCCGTCTCGGGCGTCAGAGCGGGGACTATAGCAAACACGTCACTCGCTGGCAAAAACCACGGAGATAAGCAAGCAAACGGCTTGCATTGTATAGCATACAAGGTATACTCAGCAATGGCCAGGGTTTGATCGCGATGCGACAAAACCCAAAATATATAGCCATCTTCTCAAGATACTAGACGGGTGTGATCGTCATCACAAAAAAACTATGCGCACTGAAACGAATGAAGCTTCTCGAAACAAACGCGGGGTTACGTGTGGATCTTTATCCGGGTGTAAAAAAACGGCGATTCGGAATACGTAAATCTTGACCGGGCGTATAGTATTGGCAAAGATGCGGAATCCATAAATCTTGACCGGGCGTATAGTATGGGCGGTAGAACATTCCGGTCCGATCGGCCAAACTGCCGTCAAACCAAGCGGGATTCTTTTTTTCTTCGGTTTCGCCGGTTTGTCCGCTAAATCGGATCCCCGTCAAACATCTTTGCCTGTGAGCTTCCGCCAGCGGCCCTTGAGGTCATTCATCACACTCTCCGGGAAGATCGTGAAATCGGGATTTCCGAAGTGATGATGCCGAAGCAGCCACGAAGCGTGCTTCTTGCAGGTCTTGCAAGTGATGTATACACTATGCGGGTTGTGGCCGATGACCACATCATGATGATGAGTGCCAGTCACGCAACTGAGTCGGCTGCACCGTCGGGGAGGATCCGCTCTACGACACAATGCTGGCTGATGAGGCTGAAACGGAACTCGATGAACTCGTCACGGAAACCACGGTTGGTGATGCAGGGGCCGAACTTCCCCGCGACTTTACTGCTCTTTTGTTCAGATCCCCGTGCTGATGTTGCAGGGTACGGTGATGGCGGTGCGCTGGCTGGTGGTGGTTCTGTCGGTACCTGTGGCGGCGGCGGCGGCGGCTGCTGATTCGCAGCCGATGCTACTGAACTTGATGCCTGTGCGCTGCTGAACACGTCCACGTGGGACATCGTGATGTCACCGTCGTGATCACGATCCTCTGGGATCGTGGGTGGTATGTTGCAGCGTCGGCCGAGCATGCGGCCGTCCCAGCCAGGGTGCTCGCCCATGCCCTTCGCCTCGGCGGCGCTCTCCTCGTTGGCGATCGCGTTGCGTTGTTCTGCCTCAGGATCGTCCAGAGCGTCATGAAGATGCCGAAACCGATGGTCATGCCGAGGACCAGCGGGAACGTCAGCAGGCAAATATAGAAGCTGTAGTCCGGCATAGTCGGCGTGGGCGTAGGCATTCCCTTGACCTTGCCGAGGCAGGTGAACAGGACTGATGCGAGCATGGTAGCGTGTGGCTGCCGGGTCCCATAGGTGTGTTTGCGAGCCCCAAAGAACGACAGCAGGACGCCCGCCTCCAACGTCTTCGTTAAGGCGTCCGCGACCGTGGCCCAGCTGAGCTTGAGCGCACAATTGGGGTGCACGGCCTCCTTGATCATGGAGGCGACGATGCGGAACCGCTTGTCGGTAGACTGGCCCGCATCTGAAGCGATGTGCGTCACGAGACCCTTGCTGTCGCTGTAGATCTTCCCAGGGCGCTTGTCGGCGAGCACGTCGATCTGCTTGAGCGCCGTCTTGGGTGTGTATGCCTCGGTCAGCAGCTGTCGGAACCACATGTTGGTCTCCGACCCCTCGAGGGTAGCGTAGCCCTCGGAAGCGAGGGTCCACTTCACCGACCTCTTGACTGTGCCAGAGTGCCAGGCGACGGGCAGGCACAGGTCGTGCCGGCCGCCGACGACGTCACGCGGGCGATGTGTGAGCCCCATCACCATGCCCCACTGACTCCTGACGCCGTCCACGTTGGCGAAGGCGGCGTCGCTGAAGCACGCGGTGATGGCCGTCTTCAGGTCGACGAGCCTGTGCTTGAGCACGATCGCGAAGCTCGCGGTGGAGTGCGCATATGCAACTGTCTTGTTGAGCGTCTTCGCGTCGGCCACGGTATCGACATTGGTGCGTCGAGCTGCGAAGCTAACCGGGCAGGCTATGTCCACCCGGGTCTGCACTGCTAGCCACAACAGCTGCCCGAGCGTGTGGCGGTAGCTCGTCACCTCGGTGGCGGTGAGCCAGTCCTCAGCACTTCGGCCCTTCTGGACCTTCAAGTCGACGTAGTCCACCTGCGCGGCAGCGGTGGCCTGGGTCACGCGGAACTCGTCGTCGAGCTTGGTAATCGTACGTCCGCAGTATTTGATGACCCCTGCGACTGGCTTGAGGTGTAGCTTCTTCCCCAGCGATGCGATAGTGGTCTTCCACTTGTTGGAGTTGTTGCGCTGGGCGATAAGGAAGTCGTCCCCACATGTGAGTGGACCGCCGCGGCGAGCCCACCGTCGTCGTAGAAGTA